AAAGCAATGAATGAGAAAAACTTTGAGCTTAGGGCTAATGAAGGTTTTTACAACGTAGATAGATAGACAAATGTATATGTCATCATTCCTATGAGTATGGTAGATTTCTATAAAAAGTGAGTGCAATATCACATTGCATTTCGAAACATGAGAGAAATAAGCATATATATACGTTATTACATATATATCTATATGCTATTCTATATTATTACAATGTTAAAATAAGAAAAGCTCTAAGAGTCTCATTTGAAATATAATCTATGTTATTTTTATATAACAATTATCAATGAGAATGTAAATTATATTTGATTAGACGATAAATGATGAATTGACTTAATTATTTATGATTAGACATGTGTGAATAGAAAAATTTGTTAACATTTATGAAAATAATGTGTTTTGATTGACATTACATTTGTGCTTAGTGAAATATTGCTATTATATTGCATTTGTATGTGTAAATTAGGAAAACTCGCACTTTTTCACTTGAATGTGATTCATTGAATTTCAATTCAAGAAAGGAGTTTACAAATGCAGAGTATTGTTCCTTTACCCTGCATTTGTAAACTCCTTTCTCGAATATCTTCATTTCTTTTAATTATAAATATCACATTCTGTATAAAACTCCTCAAATATCCTCAATTTCCCATTACAATAATAAATAACCATTTTCTATATTTCTTAAATTTCTCTAATCCTTAATTTTCTTATCAAATTTGTTATTTTTTCAATAATTTTTAAAATTTTCTAATATTTTTTGGAAATTTTTATTTAATTTTGTGAGAAATTTATTCAATTCTTATTATATAATAATATTATTCAAAAATATTGTTGTAATTTTTCAATGATTACGATAATTTTTAATTCAATTTTTAATCGAATGTTTTGATGGGACGAGCTTACTGAGCATTGGCTCATCCCATCAAAACATTCCATTCAAAACTCTGGCCTTCATCGAGGCCAGAGCTCACAATTCATCTCCTCAGAGCCAAGTTCCTCGACGGTCGTCCTCATTAGGCACGATCCGAGAGGAACTTGGCTCTTCATTAAAATCACAAGCTCTGGCCATTGCTAAGGCCAGAGCTTCGCAAACCATCCTCGGGGCCGGTTTCCTCAAAGACCGCCCTGATTCAGGGCGGCCGGAGAGGAATCCAGCTCCGAGAGAGTGCCCATACGAAGCTCTGGCCTTAGCAGTGGCCAGGGCTTTCAAAAACAATCCTCAGGGCCGAGTTTTGCGATGATCGTCGATCATGTCGACAGTCTCGCAAGAACTCGGCCCTGAAAGACATACAGATACATGCTCTGGCCCCAGCAAAGACCAGGGCTTCGTTTTAAATACCCAGGGCCGGCTTTCTCAAATGCAGCCCTTATCCCGGGCGGCAGGAGCGGAATCCGGCCTTGGGATACTTACCAAACGAAGCTCTGACCCTAGCAAAGGCCAGAGCCTACAAATGCAATCCTCAGGGCCGATTTTGAGGGAGATCGTCCACATCATTGACGATCTCCTCTCATTTCGGCCCTGAAAGAAAGAAATACACAGGCCCTGACCATAGCAAAGGCCAGGGCTTCGCTTTAAATCCATAGGGCCGGCTTTCTCAAATGCCGCCCTTATCCCAGGCGGCAGGAGCGAAAACCGGCCATGGGAATCCTACAATACCAAGCCCTGGCTCCTACTGAGGCCAGAGCCTGCAAAATTCATCCTCAGGGCCGAGTTTTGCGATGATCATCCCCATGATAGACATTCTCGCAGAAACTCGGCCCTGAAAGACGTAATATCACAGTCTCTGGCCTCAGTAGAGGCCAGAGCCTCGCTTACATTACTCAGGGCCGGCTTTCTCAAATGCCGTCCTGATCTATGGCGGCAGGAGAGAAATCCGGCCCTGGGAAGCATGAAATACGAAGATCTGGCCTTATAAGAGGCCAGAATCTGCAAATACTCCCTTCTCTACAGATTATGATCCAATGTAACACAGAAAGCCTAGAAGGAAGCCCTTTCTCAAGGTTAAGACTTCCTTCCTGGCTTTCTGATACTGGATGGAGTGGGGTTTGGCTTCCATTGCAACTTCTTCCAGGAAGATCAAATGATTACACAAAAGTCATGGAAATTGCATTCTAACACTATAAATACAATTGCCATGGCCTACAATTGCGAGTGCCTGCTGCTTCAGCAGAGATTTGCAGCAGACACTCGCAATGTTAACCAAAATTCGTCTGAAAGTTAGAAGATGAACTTTTTCTCAAGGTCAAAGTCCATTTCCTAACCTTCTTATATTAAAATGAGCATTTTGACAGATTATTATTTTTTATCCCGGCATCATCAGCTTGTCATTCTAAGCTTATCATTTTCAGCTTATACTTATAAATTCTAAAACAGTGATTATTGAATTCACGAAATATAACACCACATTAAGAAATATTATTTACTAACTTTTTCAATAATTAAAAAATATCAATGATACTTAAGTGTCATCACATACAACACATTCTTATGATCATCATAATATATATTATAGAATATTGCATAATAATCCAAATTCAATTTCAATATTAAAGTGTACTATCCAGTATCTCTTAACATCATAACATACTCAACGAGTACTGATCATATGCTATTGATCAAGCCTTTAAAACAAACTACATATATGATTGCTTTAAATTGACCAAAAAATTGAATACTTGCTTTAAATTGACCGTTCAATTTAAAGTTCGTCCCCCACTGCAAAAATGGGTTTTTCACTTTTTTGGGAAAAAATTTGGGTTCGACCCACCAAGAGTGGGCATTGAATATATTTTGCATTGCATTAATATTTAATGCATATATCCCCGTCTTTGGAAATCAATGAATACGTTAGAAACATGAAACGAGATATAATGGATAAATATGAATAAAATCAGTATTTGTTGATGATGTAAAAGCAAAATCTATCAGTGATATTTGCTATTTTCATAAAAGTGTAGAGAATATTGCATAATATTTTCTTTTTATCTAAAAATAAGAGAAACGGTGATAAATCGGCATAAAAAGAGAATTCTATATGTTACATAATGAAAATGGCGATGATAATTTTCCAAAATTTTTTCAAAAAATAAAATAACAATTAAAAAATCAACAAAAAATTCTTCAAAATTGAATTTTCGAATTTATTTTGGAATTTTATAGAACGTTGATTAGAATTATTTTTTAATGTTAATACATATACTCCCGAAATTAATTAGAAACTGATTAAATTTCGAAATAAAATTTGATAAAAATAGTATTTAAGAGATAACAACTAGCCAAACTAATGACAAATTGATAAGTAACTGTATTCTCTAATGAATTAATCAGATATTCTGCACAATTTTGGGAGTATTTCAAATGACTACCAATTTGAATGTCAATTCAGACCAAAATAGTTCTTTTTTATCAAAATTCTTACTTAATTGATGAAATGTACTTTTATATTAACCATATTCGGATAAATTGTGAAAATATTAAATCTATTAGCTTCAGAATTCAACATATATATGGTAAATAGAACCACCACAAGAAAGAAACATGTTTCAGATACATTTTATTTATTCTTTTCTCAATATTTAAATTTTCTGATTAAATGTCTTTTTATTTCTATATTTGACGAAACCATTACTTATTATATCATTTATAAATGCAAATGGTAATAATATTTTAATGAATTGCTATGAAATTTTTTACAAATTTTTAATCTTATGTGAATATAGCACATAAATATCAATAAATGATATTTCACATCATGGAAATGATAATTGCGCCTTTAAAAATAGATATTTTATTCATTTGATATCAAATTATTGTATTTCATGGCATTATCACAATTTCACATTGAATTTGATAGTTCCTATATCTGCTAAAAACAAAGAATATAGATTGGCACAAAAAACACGCTGTTTAATTTTTTTACAAATCAATTGGAATTGTTGATACATTTTCACACAATAACACAGTTATAAACATATTGTCCACATATGAAACTATCTTGCACATTACTTATTTATGTCCAAATACTAGGATATCATATTAAATCTTTTATTTAATATAACAAAAAAACACAAGATAGTACTTTGACTATATGAATGAATTACCCATCCAATACTTTAATTGTTCCTAAAGGAATATTGCAAAAAATTTAACTCTATAATTGATTTTCCTGCGTTTCAAGCTCTATCGTCGTGATTTTGACGATTATTTTCATTTTTCGTCGAAAGACAATTATTTTTTTCATTATTCATAACCGCCCAATGAAATAACTAAATAAAATGGAGATTTTATCTCTAATTCGAATATCCAATTAGTTTTATTCTTTCATTGTGATGCATTGATCTCTTAATGTCATAATAGGATTAAGAATGAGCTAATCTCTTTTCCAAATTAAAGCGATTCTTATAAAGACACAACTTTCTTTTAGTATTCATGAAATAAAGTATTTTAACAATCTGGTTTAATATGTTTTAACCCTGAATATAATACAAGAATTTTCAAATTAAGGCACTCGGGATATAAATAGAATTAATGTCCTCAGTACATTATATTGTCACTTTGATGCAAATCCAGATCAATGAATTAGGAAATTTTCCCTTATAATTATGATCCGCAAAATTATCTTCTAAAAGCATGTATAATATCAGAAAATTGTCTTTCCTTTGTCCCAATATTCATTCACATATCTAAGAAAAGATCGCTATTATTAATCACCTCTACCGAGTATATCAAATTCATGCATTTGATAATTATGGGAGTATAGGTTAAGCCTAAAACTCTTATTCTTTAATCAAATGATCCATATGAATCTTTTTCTATGACATTTTTAGTTGGAGATATATGTTAAACAAAAAATCATATGAATAAGAGATGCTTTAAAGCATGATAAGATATGCCTACCGATATAAAAGCAAATATTAAGAAAATACAGTTCATATGTAATGATGTTCAATGATCAAGAAGATTTTTTTTTTCAATTTCTTTTTGTTCATCAAATAAATGGATGTTTTTTCTCATAATTTTGTATGCTAGACTTGTTAATTCTGTAAATGTTTTTACTTACACACCACCAGATACTTTATTTATTCTTTCTGTCTCTTACAGAGAGCATCCTTTCGCTCAATTTTTTAAGGATGTCATTACAAAAATTAACGCAGCAGAATACAAAATTGTCATTCAGAAGAGAGCTCCATCGTTAACTGTTTACCCGGATGATATATTGAAAAAAGAGTATACCACAATATATTCCAACGAGATGTTAGCATTGTTGGTTAATTCATATGCGCCATCTTCGAAATGTCTTGTGCAGGATAATCTTACATTATTCACAGTTATAGAATATTTTGATTTCTCAATTATTGCAAAAAGGTCAGAATTATTATCCCTGTTTATCAGATTTCCTTCATTTGCCCAATATGAGCCTACGATATGCCTGATTCCTGTTACTGACCAAGTTTACGAACAGTTTCCGAAACCAGATTTTCTTATTTTCAACAAGGCAATACGTTCATTTGATTTTGAGGTAGGTAATATCAACTTTGCCTTATATTTCAATGTGTCATACCAATATTCTACATTATATCAGCTAAAAGACTACGATTCTTGGATTCTCTTGTTACTAAACACATCATTGGTACAAACAAACGAACTGTGATACGGAAATTCCCAGAGAATCGCAGAAATGAAGCTAATTTGTAGAGTTTTATCTCCTGATGACACAAATGCCTTTTATAGAAAGCTGAAACTAGGATTTAATATTAGTACAGCATTGATTAACGGGAAAGATAAGTCAATCTTGCTCTGTAGAGGTCGAATGCCAACAGATAACCAAATGATTGATTCTAACAACTTTCCAACAGATTTGTTTGATTCATCAATGTTCCCTGGTACATTAGATAAATTCGGATGCAGCAAAAATGACTTCTTCTTGTCTGCCAACGCTAATTTTTCTGCATTATTTGCGGACACAAGCAATATTCCTGAAGACAATCCAGAAATATGATATTCCTTTTATATATTATTTGTTTTGTTTTATTTTTTGTTTTTCATGTAAATTTATAATTGATACTATGTTTTTAATAAAATTTATCTATCAAAATTCATAAATAATGGATTTTTTATTAGTGTATTACAGATTGTCTGGATTAAAACAAAATTAAAAATTCCCAATTTTGCAAATTTCAAAAATGGTAGCTCAGATACTATTTTGAACGATTTTATCTTACAAATGATTGAATCGATTAAGCAATTATAACTATTTCAGTACTCACATCAATTTCTAAATCATTATCTACCAATAGACTTGAAATTATCTTACAGGAGCATTCCTATAGCAATTTTCTGATAATAATTAAGATGAATAGTTTCTATTCAAAATCCAGAACTCAATTTCTACATTAATGCTAAACAATTGTAGAAATTAGAAAAGCTTATAGATGAGTTTGGAGATACTAAAGTCTTAGAATAGCTAAATAGGATTTTTGTAGATTATATTGTTTATTTTACTTACATTAAAATAAAAACTTGTATAGAAAGTAAATTTAAATGGTATCGGATGTTACCACATACTGAGAATATTATCTGCTTGGCAACAGCATTATAAAAATCACCAAACATCTCTATATTATGTATAGGAAATTTATAAGTATTGACATCATTAAGAGAAGGGCTTAAGAAATAGTATTTATCATAAAACTTTAGAGATTTACATTGCACAGCAGGTGCTCTGTTAAAAAAAGTTTTATAATCACCAAAAAAATTACAAACTCGTTCCAAGGTACTATTCAGAAGCGATCCATAAACTATAATATCCTTAACACATTCGTTATAAATACAAGATGTTAATGAAAATGCGTCTAATCTGAAATAAAAATCCGGAAACCCAATGGAAAACCACGAATCTTTGACGTTGAGAGATCTCCAATATGCCCGTTCTTGGAAAATATTTGTAACAGGACGATCTTTACCTGATGAACTGGCTTTTAGAAATAATTTATTCGGATATTTTTCGTTTAAATATGCAACAAAACCTGTTCTATTATCACTTTGAACAGTGTAAAATCGTAATAGCTCGTAAGTTCTATATCTTATCGTTGAAATACTTTAAACCAAATTAATATTCAGATCACTATGCTCAAATATGTAATGTATTCAATTTTTTTCAAAAAAAATTGAATCTGACATATCTAAAAGGTTAGAAATTCATAACTAGGGTTGTTAGATTCCCGACGATAGGTGTCTTGGAAGATTTGCCTGGTGTCATCATAGTGTCTTTAAATCAAAAATTTTATTTTGGAGTTAGTTTTATTGATTTTTCAATAAAAAACATTTCTAAAACAAGAAAATAAAACGATAAAATATTTATATTTTATATAAGGATCTTATATATTTAAAATAAATATCATTTTATTTTTTTCATTGGTGTCTGTCAAACCATAATACACCATTCAAAAATTCAATGTGTCTTGCGGTTTCAAAAGACACCTTCAAATTGAACGATAGCACACACTATTGAATTTTACCCATTGTATTTAGTTTTTACCCTTTTTATTTTTAAGAATTAATGACTGAAACAGCCGTTTTGCTATGACCTCAATCACTTTTATTTATTATTTTAAATATTATTTAATTTTATTATTTGAATGGGCCAACTTATATTTGAGAAGCTCAATTTGAGACCACTTAATACATTGAAATATCATAAATATTGAAATATTAAAAAGTGTATTTCAAAATATTGAAATTATAAAAATTTATAATACTGAAATTGAGACAAATTAATAAATTCAATGTGTTTTTTTTGAAATAACTCTCAAATATTATTTTTTTGTTTATTTAATGATGAATAAATATGATTGCTTTAGTCAATCATAAAAACTAATTTAAGTTTAAAATAATGAAAGGATAATTTGATCGTTTTTAAAATACAATTATTTTTGATGATTTGCAAGAATCTTTGAAAAGAATATAATATAGGTTCTATTTTTGTAAAATTTATCCAAATCATGTAATACATAAATTACGATTAAAACGATGAAAGAACCAAAAAGTGTGTTTTGTGTTTTGTTGTTGCGTGTTGGATGCGGGATCCTGTTATTTCCGAAATCGACATAAAATTTAGAAATTTAATTTCCGAAATCGAAATTATATTAATGTTTTTAATATTCTTATATCAAAAGGATTAAAGTTCATTAAGAGAAAAACAATTCTTCTTCTTCAATCTATTGGCGCATTTATTTCTACACGCCAATAAGGAAGGGAAAATTATAAGACACCATGGTGTCTTCAAAACGCTAATTTTTGATATTTTTAACAACCCTATTCATAACAGGCAAACCCAAATTTTAGCTAAAAGTGACAGGGAAAAAAACGTTTAGTATTAAAAAAAAAGACCGATGAGAGCTTCGTTCGAAATATAGAGGGAACTGAGAATGCGCAACCATTCTCAGGGAATATTGGATGCTATTCCATTCCCTCTGTATGGAAAATTGAGGTTTTCAAAGGGAGTTAAAATAATATCAAATTTATACTAATTTACTTCAAAATACAAAAGTATTTGACAGCTAAAATTAGTTACTTTAGCAAGCCTATCAATACCCTTTTACGATTATTGTTACTTTTTCGAAATAAAAGTAAAAACAAATTTATACTAATTTACTTCAAAATACAAAAGTATTTGACAGCTAAAATTAGTTACTTTAGCAAGCCTATCAATACCCTTTTACGATTATTGTTACTTTTTCGAAATAAAATAAATTTATTATCAAAAACCTTTTTTTTCTTAGTAAAAATAAAAATGTTATTTTATATCAAGTTTTTATTCATAAATTTTTATAATGTTGTATAAATTTGAATGTGGAAATCTGTAATAATTTTATCTTGAAAAGACTTGGCATTCTCAACAATGAATTGAGGGGTATTGCATCCAAATTCTGTAATTTGCGCGAGCGAAGCGAGCGGCTTAGGTCTAAGATTTTGATTCAAATCTTTGCTTATATTCCTTAAATTCTTTATGAAACTCGCAACAGTTCCATAAAAAATTTTAAATTCTAAACTGTCGAAATTACCGATCGGTAATCACACCCTTCACGGGTGTGTCACTTTTTACAGCATGTAGGGGCAATTTTAGCTAAAAGTGACACACCTGTAAAAAGTGACACTCATTGTCAGCATATTAAAATTAGTTTTTTCATGATACGATATCGGATTTCAAAAAATTCATAAAAATACATATGAAAGCTGTCGAAGTTAGAATTGAGCAAGTTATCGTTCCAAGAGTATTACCATGTAGTATATTTGTTTCATGGAAAGGAAAAGGTGCAATTGGAAACTCCGAACCTGTCAAAGTGCGTGAACAAGTTGTAAAATTCAATGCTGCTTTCGGAGTCCAATTTGAAGGAAATAAGGAAGAAGATGTAATCATTTCTGTCAATACTATCAATAAAAACAATCAGTTCATTAAGTTTTCGGATTCTCATATAACAATCAATGAATCTACTTTCCAAAAGGCTTCAAGCTATGTACAACGCGTCTGCACATCCTCTATTGGTGATTTCATTGTTGTTGCTGAACTGAAACCCGCAGAATTTGAAGAATTTAAACCAAAGCTCACAGTTGACGAAGTATTGCAAAGATATGGTAATAACATCAACTCCATAGTTATTGATAGCACATACACAGAAAAGGATCCTGATAAATACATCAAATCAGATATTTTATTGCGATTATTAACAAAATACCCGCGTGACCTAATTACGCAAAACCATATAGATACCCTTAATGAATACCTCGCTAAATTGCAGCTAAACGACAAGAAAATCGACTCAAAACACGAATTATACGTCAAAGCGATCAATTCTCTTCTTGAGAAGGATTTGCTTTACATTTCATCTTCTGGAGATATTAAATCGTACGGAGCTTATCATAATAAGCTGGTTGAGAGATTTCCTTTAATTGCCGTCATAATTTGCCAAGAAATCCAAAAGATGAGGGAACAAACACTCATATTCAACTCCAAGGACATCGACAACATCATGATTGAAGTCTGTTCAATGTTTTCTTATTTGATCGGAAAGAAAGCAACGACAGAGCGCTTACTCTACCTCGCATGCAACATCTGCTTCCTCTATACTTATCTCAAGACCTCAATGAACTTGAAATGCGATCAATTAAATTTATTTTTGATTATGACCTACAAACAATTACTCTGCTTCATATTTGAGCAGATTACCAACCAGTTGAATGTTTTCGCTAATGATTACAACAAAATCGCAAGATGGCAGCGAAATATCCAGTCTCTTGCAGATGATTTGACGATTTCGAACGTTCTCTTGAATGATGTTTACGGATACCTTTCCACATACTTTGACCGCTCTCTTTTCCTCAGTTGGCTCCAAAATGACCAACTTGAAGTCAAAAATTTGAATTCATTGAAGCAAATGTTCCCAGGAGAATGGATTTATATGAAGAACATTGAGTTCATTAAGAATAACCTCAAAAATGTACTAAAACAAAAGTATTCCAACGATCAAATTTCTCCTTATTGCCAAGGATCAGTTTTGGTATCAATAATGAAGAAATTCGAAAGATGCAAGTTGGTTTCTTTGACTCCGAAAGACATTGAAAAGCTTAATCCTTCATTAATACCGAAAAACGGAATTACACCAACAGAATTCATCGAATCAATTTCTGACATCCCAAGTGATGTAATCGTCCCATCAGCTTTACCAAATATAAAAGAATAAATTAAAAATTTATTTGCGATTAAAAATATTTTTATAAATTAACTGTAATTTTCACATATCCTAGCTTATCTATACTTTGAGTTTTGTATAAATTTTATTTTATTCAATAATTTTATGGGAAATTATTATTACCAAATGCGCATTATTCCATGATTATTCGAAATTTTTGCGTCTTTTTCCAAATAGCTCCATCGAATGATGTTATATTTGATCAAATAACCCGTAATTAGACTAAAATAGGTAGAATTTATAACTCATTCAATTATTTTCACATGGTTTATAAAGTTACTATTGTATTTGCCTCAATTTCCCATCTTTCGAACCGAAATGTGGCAAATCATGATCAATTGTCAATTGAATGAATATTGAAATTTCAGGAACTCCATTAATTTTTACATATTCCATAAAAATTTCCATATCACAAATAATTTTTACCAAAAATTTTATCAAAAAGCAAATTCTTCATTTCTGGTCGAATCCAAATCTAAATATATACATGAACACAATATGTCATTTTTACCACTACAAGCAAATTCTTCATTTCTGGTCGAATCCAAATCTAATATTCAAAGTCATTCTTGATCATAAAAATAGTCAAATATATCCAATTGCTAACTCTTCCCAAAATCGCTTCTATCGTCCTTTAATGATGTAGATAAAGTCGTTTCACACGCCCTATAGTAGTTTATTGTCCTTATAGTGGTAAAAATGACATAGTATATCATAAAATTTCATAAAAATCAATTTTTTGATGGATAATGAAATTTCAAAGGGAAAAAATTGCTGGATAATGGGATTTCAATTTCGATCCAATTTTGTTTGGGAATTGGATTTCAATCACCTGGTTGATATCCTGGAAAATCTGGAAGCTTTGTTAAGATCTCCAAAAAATATAGAAATGTTTTATTCTGTCCTTTTAGGACGATAGAAAAATTCCGAAATCCCACAATTCATTTTATTAGTGTCTGATCAAGACAATGACCAAAATAAATACAGTGAGCTGCGAAGTATCTATAAACACTACATCGATTTATATATTGCTTTGTATCAGCTGAAAACTGGAAATGTAGGAGAATTAAACGAGATTTTCAGAAAGATCAAAACAGAATTGATTGAATCAAAGAAATATCCACTAAAAAAGATTATAGAAGACATTTTAAATATCATCCCTTATAATTTTCGATATACAAAATCATATTTTTATCTTGCCAAACTAATTTCTGATGATTATCATGTAAAAGAGTATATCAGTGTTCCTCAAGTTATTCGTTATCTATATTATAAGGAATATGGAATTAAATTAAACAAATCTGATGATTTCGAAAAATTTAACACAACAAATCTCGATATTCTTACAAAAGATACAATTCATAAAGCAATTATGGATAATGACTTAGAAAGATTCATCATATTTACTGAAAGAGAAGATTTTGATAAAAATCAAAGTCTTGTTACTGAATTATATCAAAATCCTATGAAAGATTATTCATTGCTTGAAATATGTTGTTATCATGGAGCTGTTGATTGTTTCAAATTATTAAGATCGGAATTTCAATCAGAAATCACTCCAAAATGTCTTAGATATTCGTTTTTGTGTGGGAATCAAGAGATCATGAGTGAATGTTTGAAATATCAAACACCAGATAAAGAATGCATGAGATATGCAATTATTTCACACAACATTGATTTTGTAACATTTTTAATGAATGAGTTTAATATAATGATCAATTTAGATTATTGCACGATATATAATAATCTTGATTCACTTTTAGTTTATTTCGATCAAACTAATGATGTTAACAAATGCTTTATATATTCAGCAAAGTTTGTCATCCCATCCCTTTGCGAATATTTCGTTTCACATGGTGCAAATGTCAATGAAAAAGATAATGATGGAACTACAGCTCTTCATATGGCAGCATCTCGAAATAGTAAAGAAACAGCTGAATTTCTTATTTCACATTGTGCAAATATCAATGAAAAAGATAAAGAAGGGAGAACAGCTCTTCATTTTGCGGCGGCAAGTAGTCATAAAGAAACAGCTGAACTTCTTATTTCACACGGTGCAAATGTCAATGAAAAAGATAACGATGGCAAAACCCCTCTTTGTTTTGCTGCAACAAGTAATCGTAAAGAAACAGCTGAACTTCTTATTTCACATGGAGCAAATATCAATGATAAAAATGAATATGGAGGAACAGCTCTCCATAATGCAGCATATAATAATCATAAAGAAACAGCTGAACTTCTTATTTCACATGGTGCAAATGTCAATGAAAAAAATAAAGAAGGGAGAACAGCTCTTCATTTTGCAGCACAATGTAATCATAAAGAAACAGCTGAACTTCTTATTTCATATGGTGTAAATATCAATGAAAAAGATAATGATGGAAGAACAGTCCTTCATTTTGCAGCAAAACATAATCGTAAAGAAACAGTTGAACTTCTTATATCACATGGTGCAAATATTTATGAAAAAGATTACAATGGTAAAACCACTCTTCATTTTGCAGCGATGAATTATACTAAAAAAACAGCTGAACTTCTTATTTCACATGGTGTAAATATCAATGAAAAAGATAAAGAAGGAAGAACCGCTCTTCATATTGCAGCACGATATAATCATAAAGAAACAGCTGAACTTCTTATTTCACATGGAGCGAATATTTATGAAAAAGATTACCATGGCGAAACCGCTCTTCATTTTGCTGCAACAAATAATCGTAAAGAAGCAGCTGAATTTCTTATTTCACACGGTGCAAATGTCAATGAAAAAGATAAAGAAGGGAGAACAGCTCTTCATTTTGCAGCATATAATAATCATAAAGAAACAGCTGAACTTCTTATTTCACATGGAGCAAATGTCAATGAAAAAGATAAAGAAGGGAGAACAGCTCTTCATTTTGCAGCATATAATAATCATAAAGAAACAGCTGAACTTCTTATTTCACATGGAGCAAATATCAATGATAAAAATGAATATGGAGGAACCACTCTCCATATTGATAATTTTTGTAAGGAAAAAAGGTCTAAAAGATTATTTATTTTTAATTGAATTTTGGACTTTTCTTTCCAAAAAATAATTTCCGATCTTGACTATTATTATTTTCGTGTTTGTCTCTTATATCTCATTACGAACTGTTTGTTTAATAAAATAAATATGATATATTTTTTAAATAGGATTTTAAACAATTGTCATTTTAATAGCAAGTCAATCTGTTGTTGATTTTAACTCATTTTAATTAATTTATCGAATAAAGTGAATATTTAGATGCTGAAAGTTTTAGTGCCAAAGGAAAAATATACTTGGAATGTGAAAATGATATCCAAATGAAGAAATAATGCATATGTGAAATTCAATAAATTAATTCAAAAAAGTAAGGGTCCGCAACAATGATAAGTAAATTATGTATCACTTTTTAATCGCTTTCATCAAATAGAATAGATAATATTCAATACCCTGTATCATTGCAACGTACCCTTAAGAATGCTAAAATCTTTGACACTTTTTATACGTTGAAAAAATGATGTTTATGGATGATGTGGATATTAAAGCCAGGAGGCAAAAACAAGCTGCGTATAAAGCAGAACTTGATGCTCAAATCAATGCAAAAAATCATGTGGCTGCGACTCCACCTCCAAAAGAAAGAGTAACAAATTCAAATCAAAATCATGCCAACATAAATTACGGCTTTCAAAATAAACCTAGTGTTGACAACACTCCAGTATATATTGCGCCAATTCAAGTTTCTAAACCAAACGTTTTTCAAGAAAATTTAACCAGTCAAATCAAAACGATTTTTTCGAATCAGAACACGCGAACATTCATTTCTCCTCTATCATCACCAATTCAATACTTTACATTTCAAGATAAACAACTTACAGAAGATTTTTCATTCCAATTTCGTCCAATTCAACCTAAATTTGTTCCACAAGATCCAAAAGTGGATAAAATTAGGCCAATTCAAACAGATGTAATCAGAATGGTAAAAATGTCGATAAACGAAGTAAACATTCCGCAGCCTTTAATAAACTACCAAGCCATCGAAGAGAAATCTCATACATATACTCCTAGATGCGGTTTTACCCTTAGAGGAAGTAATTTCGAATTTCAGTCGAATAAGCAAACTCCTCAGGATACTTCACCAAGAGAAAGCGAAGAAGATGAAGCCGATCAACACGTATTTCCAAATGATTTGCCGTACTTTTAATACAATTTTATTCTTTTTTGTTTGTAAAAATTTATCATGATTTTATTAAATTAATTTTCAATTTTGTATGGAATTATGCTCTACATTCGATAGGTACCTGATTTTGGTGGTGTTGGTAAAGAGTTTAAGAACTTTTTCGTTACAATCTCTTTTCCTGAAGGATTAATGCTATAAAATCGAAAGAAAATGTGCGCATTTGATATTTGAAGCAGCAAAGTAATAAAATATTCTGAAGTTCTTGAATAGATTGTGTAGTAATTTCAATTCGAATTAATAGAAGTTGATTTCATTCGAAAGATAAGCTCTGCTCGATTAACCTAAACATATAAACCCTGGTGAGCTTTCTCATGATTTCCAAAAAAATTTCAAAATCATGAAAATGATTTAAAAATCCTCCAAAATGAAAATGAAAACTGGTAATTCGAATTTTCTTTGGAATTATTTTAAATTAAAATCCTTTTACTATGTTTAAAACGCTTAATTTTGCATATATAAATCGAGAAAAGATAATAGTAATATTGATATTTTTATTCTTTCTCTTCAAAATCCTTTATAATTATATTTGAATTGTTCAATTTAATTTTTTCTAAATTTTTTAAATAGTTGACTGTTTTTGGAAATACCATGTAATTATTACTTTGAAGTCGAGGCAATTACATATAAATAAAGATAATCGATGAAATTATTTTTTCGGCAATTTAATAATTTTGATAAATTCATGAAATCAGTGTGATTTTTGATATTGTAAAAATCCTTCAAATAAGGGCCAAATTCTTGTTTTAATTTGATAATAATTAATTTCTTATCTTTTGTTTACATATTACAGATAGAGACCAAAAAGAGTACGAATAAGAAGTAAACAAATACATATAAACTTTATCTGATATAAAATCAAACAAATTAATAGTTAATAAATTACAATTCAACACGATTAAATGAGTTATCACGATCAAAGCGATGCAATGGATCAGTAAAAATCCTAACTGTGTTATCATCTACATTTTCACACGTTGGATTCCTTGACAGTACAGGGTTAGCGCCCTTATAAACTTGCTCAAATCCATATTTGGAAAAAGAGCCTTGCTTGTCGAAGAGTGCATTGTTATCGCATTTGGTACCAAGGAAAAGGGAAAATACCTTTTCATCGACTTTAAAATGGTTAGAGTCGATCCACTCAACACCTATAAATGGTGCTGCGGTTGGTTCCGCTTTTGTGATGCATAGGGCATTGTACAACTTAAGATCGAACTGTCGAGCTGTTCCATTGCGACGAGTGAAATATGTGTCCCTTATTTGTTTTAAGGTCATTGGGCGAGGTGACCATTCCGAAGCTGGAATTAATCCAATGGCTTGTGGTTGAATAATCATGTCGGAGATCTTCTCGAAATTTTTCGGGCTACCATTTTCATTTAAGCCAGTGTCAATCTCGAAAGCATTATTAATTTCACAATACTGTGTTCTCGCATAGACAGGCACAGTATTAGGATGATTGGATATTAGTGGAACTCCAAGCATCTGCTGGATCGCTCCAACCTTCGTTTGGGGAATTGGAAAGCCATCAGTGAGGCCCATGAAATGACGACCGTTAGAGATAGGAGAACAAACTTCAGCCATTTTTTGAATTTCAAAAAGATTTTTCTATCGTCCAAAAATTGGGAAAAATTTTTTCCGATATATAGAGGCTATTCATGATAACGGTTTAAATATGAGATTTTTGTGATTTTTGAAAAGAGCCGCTGTTGAAATAAAAATCGAGTAAAAATGTTCTAAATACTATAATTGATTAAATATATAATAATAAAATAGCGGTTTATTATTTTGAGAGAAAAACCTCCAAAAAATGAATCCTTTTGTAATTCGAGATCAGTAACATATTTTGTATATATTTCTTTTCAAATTTCAGTAAAAGGCAGTTGTCGATTTTTGAGAGGATTTATGAAATTAGGATTTAATTCAAATATTAAAAATTATTGTAAATGATATCTTTAAAATTGTGTTTTGTGCATGATTCATTTTATAAGTGAAATTCAATTTGAAAATAATTCGTTATTTCTAATCTACAATTAATCTTTTATATCTGGGATATATCAATTAGTATTATTCATCATTTTTATTTTTGGTCATGTCATGTTTAATTTCAATATTCATTCATTTATTTGAATCTATGCATAAATATGTATCCGTTTTTTCAACTTTTTTCTATTTTCACTTTAAGATTCAATTTTTTCAATTCAAATTTTTATGTGCTATTAATATTGTAAACAAATTTTTGATAATCCAGATTATTGTTGTTTATACCTGCTTTCATTATTTCAACTCAATCCTCTGATTCAATTCAATTATTTGATTCTTTTCAAAACTTACAGTACTGAATTCTATTTTTTATCATACATTTTTTCATTTTTAGTAGTTATATTGCATAATATTTGATTTATAACTTTTTATTGTTTTACATTTTTAAAGGTGCACTTTTCTGTATTTAATCCTTGATTATTTAATTCATTCGATTTTTATTTGACTTCATTAGCCACCATTTTCTTTAATACCATAGATTTCTAGAAATTTTTTCAACATAACTCCAATTTCAGTTTCATTTCGTATTTTGAAATTACAGGTATTCATGAAGGTATTATCACATCAATATACATTAAGAATTAACTATTAACTTGTGACTTAACCTGTATTTTTTTTTAGAAATTATCCCATTTTCTTCATTTTTGTTCACAAAACATAAAAATTCTGACTATATTGATCAATTCAATTATATGTATCATTCACAAACTTTATTAGTTTCATATTTTTTTTCAAAATTTCTCTCTAATGATTGTTTTATGATAACATTAATAATGTGTATACCTAAAACGCATAAAAATAAAGTATTTTGGAAAGTTAATTATAATTTACTCAAAGAAAAAAATTACCGTAAATAATTTATTCTGGCTTATTGGCAATAGCATGTGCCATATAGTCAGTACCGAGAATGTTAAAGTTAAGGATAGATTTCTGGCTGTAAACACGAAGACCGTTCATCCAATCTGGTCTAATGAATTCATAGAACTCATCCTCGAGTTCTTTCATGATCTTCATAACAAATGGGTGGTTCTTAACCTGGTTATCAAGAGAAAGAACGCATGATTCGCAAGAAAGGGATGTAGCGATAGCCTTTGCAGCTCTAAGGTAGAAAATGTAGTGAGCCTTAAGAGCGTCAACAGCATCTTCTTCACCATCCATAGCCTTCTTTGCAACTTCACCAGCATCAATCTGTTCAACAGGAAGTAATTCTCCTGTCTTCTTCTGGTGGTAGAACTGGTAAGCTAATGGGAGACCACGGCCAGAGCAGATATCTTCGTATTCTGGGTCAAGTTCACCTTTGTAGTAGTGGTTGGAGATGTGCTGGATGAGTTCTCTCTCTTGCTTGAAGTTCTTGTGTTCCTTCATGTTTGGAGCAATTTGAACGTGACCAAGTTCTGTTGGAAGAACTAATGGGTTCTTAAGCAGTGGTGTTCTGACAACAAGAGCAGCACCGAGGCCAGATCCCATAGCTAAAACAGCTGTTCTGCCATTAGCAAGTACTGGACCCTTTGGTGCCTTGTCCTGGAAGAGCTGAACGAAGTTCTGCTCAAGGATATCTTTATCAGCAGCGGCGATAACACCGTAAGCACCGGCTTCAAGGTCGTTTAAGAAGACGGATCTGTCCTTTGGGAAAATCTTTTGTGGAAGATCCTTTAATGTAAGTGTACGAACTGCTGGCTCACCTTGCCAGTTTGTAAGGATGACTGTACCTGCCTTGATTGGGCCTGCAACAGCAATAGCTGCTCCGAGGCAGACGAATTTATCATTAACTTGCTTGATTTTCTGTTCAAGATCAGCAAGGACATCAACTAATTGCTTAGTGCACTTTGCCTTTGCGTGACCGAGGTCAACATACTTTTCGCTGTCGTTGAAGGAAGAGATTCTTACTCTGAGACCGGAGCCACCAACATCGCATCCAATGCAGATGGGGAGAGCACCATCTTCTGATACCTTCCAATCGTTGATCTTTTTGACGAGTTCGATGTCGAACATTGAACGAAAATGAAGTTCTCTTGTCAGAAGTTCATACCTGTTAAATTCTTTCAAAAATTTCAATAGAAAATAAATTTGAGAAAAAACTGGCCAAACCATACTCAATTTATTTCATCCTAAAATTAGAAACGAGTATATATGAGTTAGTGGGTGTTAATATAAAAGTTTCATATTTTGTGAGAGTTCAATAGATAATACCAAATTCTCTCTAGTAATTTAATAGAATGCTCAATATGGTACACTTTTTTGAAGAAATTGTCAATTTTGCAATTGCAAATTAATTCTGAGAAATTCACAATTAATCTTCACAATTTGGCAATGGGCTTTTGAATTTCATTGTTTTCGCCATGCATTATAATCATATTCTAAACATGAATTTGCAATAATTTTCTCCATTTAGCCATAAGTTCTGAATCTCTCAAAAAATTATGGCTCTGTGAATTTAGAAAATATTGTTGTTGTAGCTGTTAATGTTAAAATTACAGGGTTTGGATATTCCGATAAAAAGTGTAAATTGGAAGATGAATGGTCACTAATTGCAAACATACCTTTGATCTTGATCTTACATATGCATCGCTAGCATAATCTATATTATGACCTGGATTATGATCACTATTTTCTTATTTTCGCAAATTTGTTAATTTACTCCCAAATAATAGAGAGTAGGGGTAATTTTAGCTAAAAGTGACACACCTGTAAAAAGTGACACACCCATGAAGGGTGTGATTACCGATCGGTAATTTCGACAGTTTAGAATTTAAAATTTTTTATGGAACTGTTGCGAGTTTCATAAAGAATTTAAGGAATATAAGCAAAGATTTGAATCAAAATCTTAGACCTAAGCCGCTCGATTCGCTCGCGGCTTCCGCGAATTACAGATCAGCAAAGATTTGAATCAAAATCTTCGAACTAAGCCGATCGCTTCGCTCGCGGCTTTCTTTATTATTTTAAATTTGCATATTTCCATCAAAAGTTCATAAGGTAAAAAATTTCGTTTATATTTTACTAGAAAAAAAGGTTTTTGATTAATAAATTTATTTTATTTCGAAAAAGTAGCAATAATCGTAAAAGGGTATTGATAGGCTTGCTAAAGTAACTAATTTTAGCTGTCAAATACTTTTGTATTTTGAAGTAAATTAGTATAAATTTGTTTTTACTTTTATTTCGAAAAAGTAGCAATAATCGTAAAAGGGTATTGATAGGCTTGCTAAAGTAACTAATTTTAGCTGTCAAATACTTTTGTATTTTGAAGTAAATTAGTATAAATTTGATATTATTTTAGTTAGTATGGTTAAGTCGTGTACTGAGGCACTGCGCGCCTCCGTACACCACTTAACCTTAAATATTTACAAAACCATTAACGTATATTTTACAACACAAATGACAACACTAACTTAACCTTAAATATTTACAAAGCCGCCAACCACTAATGTTTTCACAAACGACTTCACTAATGAAAAAATAAACGTTCTCACTTACAAAAGTATTGCAACTCCTCCCATTGCTGTGCTTCACATAACAGTTCATATTCTTCTGACTCACTTTCTTCTTCATATAGGTCAAAGTCACTGTCAAAATAAATGTATGTAAGTTTTGACAAAGCTAATGAAACACGTTTACCGTTTGTATCGTATGCTTGTATAAACTTTCCATTCTTCATTCCTTCATAAACGCTCAAACTAACTTTACCCTTTCTCCCTCGTATCTGATAGAATGTATTTTCACGCGGAACGAAGAACAAATTCTTGAACTCATGACCGTTGTAGTTTGTTATCTCAATACTTTTCGTCATTTATATAAAAATAAAATAAAAAATTAATGATATCACCACCCTCACACGTATGAAAACATAGCACAAAAATAAATTTAGGTGAAGTGGTGAGATCTCACCTCTTTTTTCACCTGTTTTTTCACCCTGTTGAATTCATTGCTTTATAACTCTCTTCCTTGGTTTCTTTTGAGAAAGGGACAGACTAGCCCATTGTCACTTTTTAATTTAGCAAATGAACGCTTATGGAGTGGAGTTTTTGGGTAAATCTGATTTGCTTATAAATGAAATAAAATCAAAAGAAACCATATTGGCATTATATTATGCAAAAATAAATGATCTTACTTAGTACTTTTAAAGTTAATTTCAGAAAAAATTTGACACAATGGTATCCGGCACATACAAGTGGTGTACAACCAAAATATAAGTTAGTTTAAACATATATTGCTATATCTCATGATCTTACTTAGTACTTTTAAAGTTAATTTCAGAAAAAATTTGACACAATGGTATCCGGCACATACAAGTGGTGTACAACCAAAATATAAGTTAGTTTAAACATATATTGCTATATCTCATGATCTTACTTAGTACTTTTAAAGTTAATTTCAGAAAAAATTTGACACAATGGTATCCGGCACATACAAGTGGTGTACAACCAAAATATAAGTTAGTTTAAACATATATTGCTATATCTCATGATCTTACTTAGTACTTTTAAAGTTAATTTCAGAAAAATTTGACACAATGGTATCCGGCACATACAAGTGGTGTACAACCAAATCTTCGACTCGATGAACTTGTCATCGAGTTATATTCCAGTGTTGTTCCTTCATTCCTGATTAAGTTGCAAATTAAAGGTCTGGATTCAGAGAGAGTGTTAAAGTTATCAAAAAAGTCACAAGAGATTTCGAAGAAATGACACAATTTAAAAAAGTCGAATGCATCAGTATGCTTGAAGCTGTTCAGAAAGGTCTGAAAAATGATACACTTGATCCCAACATTGTTTACTCAACATTAAAAATATTATTGCAAAGAAAACATTTGATTTAATAAACATTTAATTTATTATAATTAATTTTTTATTACAGTATAGTAAAAAATGCTATAAATAAATTATTATATTTTATTAAAATGTGACTTTTAATAGTAAGTGAATAAAATAAATCAGGAATTGGGAAAGAAATAAGGTTAATTAAAAATAATGAAAATTATAAGTTTAAGGTTAATGAAAAAGTGACAATGGGCGAGTTTGTCCCCCACTCGTTTCTTTTTAGTTGCTTTCTTCACGTCTGTCTCCAACTTGACTGTCTTTCTTCTTCGGCCGTAATGATACCAGTTACTTCCACCAGTCAATGGGTCAAATGGTCTTTCGTAAGGGTTTCCATACATTCCATAGGGACCATACGGAAGAACTACTGGTGGAGAAGAAACATTTTCTTTAGTTCCATCGACTCTATTTAAATGCATTGTTTCACCTTTCATCTGGTCATTAAAGTCTTTTGCGTGTTTTGCAAACTCATCGTCCTTTCCTAAAGCATTTTCTGACTCAGTCACAACCAAATTGGATGCTTTATTTATGAGCCCTATTTTATTTAATCTTAACTTCTTTGCAACCCAGCCTCCAATCTTCCCTTTATTTGCATCTAATGTCTTCGAAAACCTTCCTCCACTCATTTTATTTACTGCGTCATAAGCTCCAAGTGCTTTTGCTCCAAATGCTAATGCTTTTGTTCCCATTGCGCCTAAAGCTGCCCAAGCTACCATTTACACCATATTAAAATCATCTCTCTTCAATATTATCTCATAAAAGTTCTCGTTACTGGAGAAAGTCAATGAAACATAAGCGTTCTCACGGGCTTCGCCCTCACCGCTTTGCGGTCTATCTAACTTCTTTCTTATCTCATCGATACGCTTCAAAATGTCTGAACAATTGCTAACATCTTCTACAACAGTTATTTCATCATGAATGACCTTCAAGAACAAGCTCATTTAATATGCTATTAAAATCATCTCAATAATGAGTCCATCCTTTCCGTCTTTGGGTAGCACAACATCTTTCATTGAAGAAGGTTCGACAAGTCTTATGTTAAACTTACTGACAAAGTTTGTTATACTATAATGCTTCGGCGGCGAATACATGTAGTTTGAAAGACATAATATAGATTCTTCAGCAAATTCACTTATACTGGATTTTATAACAATGTTCTCACGAGACCAAATACCACCAATTGACAATCTTGTAAGCAATCCTGCTGAACCTTCTACTGTAAATGTCGATGGTAACATTCCACGAAGGTCATCTATTGACATCGTTGAGTCACTGTATTTAAATATTTTCTTAAAGCAATCGTCATTATCTAACCATGCAATAGCTTTGAAGTTTTCATTCGAATATACATCTGCTTCATTAAATGTAAAACCCGACTTCTTTGCAGAGATGACTTTAAAATCTATTGAGTTTGTTTCAAAATTATATGCTATGGTAACTTCTGAAGGCAATGGATGTCCTTCCGCAGTCAGTTGTTCTCTCACTACCGTTTGAAGCTTTGTATTAAAAACTTTCATGTCATCTCCTGTATCTAGGTTCACATACACAGCAACAGGAAAACTATCTTGCTTCTTTGTTTCATCATTATACCTCAAAACATTAAAGTTCTTCAATAATATTGTTCTTCCTGCTGGAATACTTCTAACTTGTCTTATTTCAATAGCTTTCTCACCTCCTACATACTCTACCCAGTGTCTTGGATATTCATAAGTATACTGACTTTCTTGAATTTTGGTTGGTTTCATCATAACATGTTCATAGTATATCTTTATACTCTTGTCAGTTAGACTCGGTGCTATGTTCTGAATATTTCTGACTTGCATTTTTAATGGAGATAAAATGAAGCATTTAATACATGACGTAGATGAAGACATGAATAAACTACAGACAAACTTAACTCTTCTCTTATTCTTCCTTTCAGTAAGGACTATGAGTTCTGTTCAAATGGTGTGTATTTCTATTGTGGAAAGATGGGTTCAGGTAAGACATTTAACTTCATTCGTCATATACTCATAACAGAACGTTTAGGAAATGACTCATATTATGACCAAATCATTATATCAGCAACTTCAGACTCTATGGATCAACAGCGAAAACATTTATGTCAAAAGTTCAAGCCTCTGTCGTTAAAGTTCCAGACAGTGAACTCATTGAATTTCTTCAACGTTACATTCGACGTAAGAGGAAATATTATGCCATCGTTGAATTTATACAGTCAGGAATGCAAAAGACTTCTGAGGAGATGGAAAGAATTATTGACAAACACCACTTACGTCAGTACTCAGGAGTTTACGATATGAAACGACTTACAAACTACATTCTGTCAAAAACTTTCAAAATACCCCTTCAAAAAATATCCATCAAACACTTTATTAGTTTGTGACGACTTCGCCGGAAAAGGTTTAGTGTCAAAACCAGACTCACCATTAGCTAACATCATTACTAAAGTCAGACATTACCATTTAACTGTAGCAATACTTATGCAAACATGGAGGTTTTTAGCTTTAAACATGAAACGTCTCATAACTGACTTCGTTATCTTTCAAGGTTTCTCACGCTATGATATTGAACTCATTTGGAAACAGTCAGGTATAACATTACCTTTTGAAGAAATTTGGGAAGCATATAAGTCTCTCATCTCTCCTCGTTCATACCTTGAGATTCATATCATGACTAATACCATTAAAGTCAAAAATATTCCATGGGAACGACCAACATTGTTTTAAAGTTTAACCTTCAATTGACTGATGGTAAACAAATTCCATGCATCTCTGTCGCCATTTCTGTTAATATTTTTGCTGTCATTCATATCATCCACTTCCCCATCCGTTAGCTTTTGAGGATATGCGTTAGAATAGCTGTTCTTAAATGAAGGCTTTTCACCTTTGAGAGCATAAACTCTATAACTTTCTGCATACTTTATGTTTGAACCTCCTGAGCCATCATTGACATAAATTTTTATAGGCTTCCACCCTTTGTTCATGTTCCTGCTTCTTCCCTTAGCTCTTTTGTTCAGTAGTTCTACATCTTTATACACAGCACCTGTCTCAGTGAATTCAACAATATTTTCATTCGTTAGCTTTACATTCAAACCCTTGTCGAGTATATTGTTCATTTCATACATATAAAAGGTTTTTATTCTATATGAAATGAGAAGCAAATCCATCTTAGCTGGTGCCGTTAATGTTCCAATTGAACCAACATCAAATGTTGACTCACGAACGACAAACAATATTGTCATAAAGAACTATAGTTCAGAGTGTTTGAAAGAAAAAGAACCAGAACTTAAGTCGGTGAATTTAAACAGCTTCAAACGCTAACGCTACATCAGATGTTAAGTTAGAGTATCCACCACTGGACCAAATTCTTTCAAGAGAAGCCAACGACAATCCTTACACAAATGTTCAAACAAATCCTTCAGATAACGTAGACCATTACCTTCTTCAGTTATACCAAACAATTTTACTCAAAGACGATAAGAAGCTTTTGAAAATCTTATAAGCAAGAACCAAATAATTCTAACAAAGGAGGACCTTGAAAATGTTATCTCACGAATAACAGGGAAACAATGTGTCATTGACTATCTCGACCCTGAAATCGAATGCTGTGGTCAAACTCCACTATTCATGAAAATAGGTAACATCCGCATCATTGAAACACCAGGAACTACAGGAGTTGAGTTTAAGTATAAATATTCGAACGAGTATACAAAACTTTCAACAGAATATAAACTTTGTTTGAAATATGTTTTAGTAAATTAAAGCAGTCAGGAGGGCTCTTTGAGCCCATCTTGGCGCTTTGCGCCGTCAGTCAAAAAAATTTCAAGTTAGCAATTTGTAATATCTATCCAAAACTTCTTCAACAGTATCGAACTCATCTTCATAATGCAAACCTAATCTTATTGACTTGGTGCAGTTTTCACTAACACAATATTTTTCTGTTCTCTTGACTGACATAACTAACTCATTTGTTTCATCAAACAGCAACAACCAAAGTTCATGACCTAATACATAACATTCATACTTTATATTTTTAGCTCTGAGTTCTCTTGTAAGCTGTTGCATTTAATATTTTCTAAAAAGTCAACTTCAACAGTCATTCGCACTGGTGCCTTCAGTTCTACAGGCTCTCCTTGAAAGTCAACAAGTCTGAATTGCATGTCTTTCAAATTATGAGGACTAATGCGAACCCATTTACCTAAATGAGTTGCTATGACAGGAACGTTTGGAATGAACATTGAATTGACTGCATAACAGAAGGATTTATATTCTACTGAACCTTTACTATTAACTCCTGAAATGCCTGTGACATTAGCTATTTTAGACTCAATGTATAAACAATTACCATAACATACGTATGGAACAGATTTCATCTCAATCGTTTTGTCAACACTTTTCAAAGGAAATGTCATATGGTATGCACCCAAAAGAAGTTGTACTCTATGACTCATTCTTGGTATCTTAAACTCCTTCACATAACTGAACTTCAAAACTCCTGCAATAAGTTTAACATTCATTAAGTTTTCTTCGTTATCCTTGTTTATTGTAGTATTTATGAGAGCATTTAACACTCCAGCTAATGTTTCCATCTTATATTCTACATTATTGTGAAATCTTATTTCGTGCTTCTTTCCATCTATTTCAATCTCCATGAAATCTGTTTCATCTGTTATAACGAATGAAGCGATAGTATTGAAGTCAACCATTCTGAATGCAAGCGCCTCATTCTGTAGACCTAAGTTTGTTTGTAGCTTTACTGTCCCGTATTCGTTTGGGTCTGTACTTTGCAAATAGAACAACATTTTATTCTCATTAAAATATGAGTATAGCTGCATATGCGTATGAAGCTGACAGAGCTAAACGTTTATATTTTGGTCAATACTCTCTCACACTTACTGACAAATATATTGTTATCACTGATGGAAATACTGAGAAATACATAACATGGAAGGACTATGAAAAGTTTGACCCTATTTTAACTCCATGTACTATGCCGTTTATAAAGGACGGTGAAATTATTGAAAAAGATAATACAACCGTATATAGGTCTGTTTATGAAGCATTAGAATATATGTTGAATCATAACCCAAAAAGATTTGACCCAAGCACTACACCATGTGCAATGCCTTTTATTAAGGACGGTGAAATCGTAAGAGTTCCGGATTCAACGGTTTACACAGCTGTTCAAAACAGTTTACAAAACATTTTAGCGAATATCTTTAATTCAGAAACTACAGAAATAAAATTACCATATATAACAGATGCTAAAGAAATTAAATCAAAAACGACAACATTATTTACGTCACTTAATGATTTAATGACTTATATCATTAATATTCCTGCACCAACTACAGCATTTGATCCAAACTCGACGGTTTGCAGTGTACCTTTCATAAATGACAGTTCATTAATTGCTTTAAGGGATTCGACAGTAAATGAATCATTAAAGGCGTCATTAATGAAAATCATTGATTTTAATTCATTCACGAATACATATAATTCATTCATTAATGTTTCATATGCTTCTAAAGAAGGTGAGCCAAAAACTATCGATAAAGCGGTGTATGAAATAAAAGCATCAACGACGAAATTGAATTCGTTAACTTTTGACGGTGATAGTTTCGTTAATGACATAACATCGGGGAAAACAATTTTAACGAAAGAATACTTAAAATCTCATGTTAGTGAGTTCGTTGAAATTGAAAAAGAAGGTGGAATTAAGTTCGATCCACTGAATTTCATTTTCAGCTTAGCGAATGCGGGTGTTAGTTTCGCTGAATGGACAACTATACAGAGTGAAATAAATGCAATATGGACGTTTTTGGGGTCAAAAGCGGGAATGGGTGAGCTTGTAAATGCTGCAAGAACATTAGGTGAAACAGGAAATTTTGTAGATGGTTTTAAAAGACTTGTTTCAAATGTTTTAACAAACACAAAGAAATTATTTAGATATACCGTACATAACGGACGGATTTTCGAACAGATAGCAACAAACCCTCCGGTTATGGCTGCGTTGATGATGGTTAGAGATATAAAACCACGTAACGACGGGAACGAAGAACATGAACAACAGGATACTGGTCGGGTTATTCGAGACATTAAAAACGTGTATCCTGAAGTTATTGATTTATTTAGAGGAGTTAATGATTCAATTTCAAAACATTCTATAACCCTCGATGAAGAGAATAAATTAACAGATTATATATTCGTCATTATTGCAGAATTAATGAAGAGAATAAATGAAAAAGGAATTGGTGATATCATTAATGTCAGCGATGTAATGATGAAAAGAAATTTTGACTCATTATTTACAAAACCGAAAACAGAATATAGTCTTTATGACGTAATTACCGAATTAATGAAAAAGATTAATGATAATAAGAGTTCTGGCGGAAGAGTTGAATTAGAAGTGAATGATGTTAATGAGAAATTAGCCGAAAAAGCAGACAAAAATGAGCTTTTAGCTCTGAGTGATAAAGTCAAGAACCACGTTCATTATATAACTTCAGACGAACAGATTATAACGGACTACCATGGATATTTAACACAGGATGAACAAATAAGCACTGAAGATGTTAATGAAAGAAGATATAAATACATTCGTGCTAAAGGTTATGACATAAGCTGTACTGTACATTATGACACGGGTAAAGCGCTAGAAGCATTTGGTTATAACGATGAAATTTATGCCTCTACTTTCTCTGTTAAAGGTGTATTAGTTGAACCAAGATTTACTTTGAGAGTTAAGTCAAAAATAACGTTTGAAGATGCTATTAAAAGTAAAGCTGACAAAGTTGAACTCGAAGCAATGAACAAAGTTTTGAAATCTCATAAACACAACATCTCCGATATAAATGAACTTCAAGCTACATTAAATAGTAAAGCTGACAAGAACCATACACATGAATCCTTCACTACTGTTAGAGCAGACGACATAATATTGAACTATACCCTTGGTTCAAGTGCACCTTTAGAGAATCCAAGTACAAGCGTAAAAGATACACTAAACTCCTTAAATAGTAAATGTATGAACATTGAAGGTCATGTCAGAAACTTTGAAACATATGAACTACCAGCAATGTTAGATAAGAAAGCAGACAAAGAACATACACATAACTCCTTCTCAACTGTTGCTATAGAAAGTATTGAAGGAACGGTTGACGGAACTGATGGGGATGCATTATATTGTAAACCTCCTAACTTTCCACAAGGTTTAACATCGAATGAAAACATAACAACGAAGAAAAAAATTAGCTGTAAAAATGTTTATGTCATGGGTGATGAAAATAATGTTAAATTCACTGCTCAAGATTTATATGATAAGAAAGCAGACAAAACAGAGCTTCAAACATTAAAGACTGAAATACTTCAAACATTATATCCTGTTGGTTCTATTTATACGTCAATGAACTCAACAAATCCAGAAACAGTTCTGGGTTTTGGTACGTGGAAGCAGATTGTAGATAAATTCTTATACTGTGCTAACTCTTCAAAGCAAACAGGAGGTTCGAAGAAAATTAAAGAAGCAAACCTTCCACCGCACACTCATACAGGAACTACAAACACAACAGGTAATCATTCACATTCAATAACAAAAAGAGGTTATACAAATCTTGCAGCAGGTTCGGATAGACAGGGAATGCATAGATATGATATTTCAAGTGACCCAGTAGATTCAAGCGCAGGTATTTTCTGTGGAACCACAGGAAATCATTCACACACTTTCACAACAAATCCAACAGGCTCGGGTGAAGATTATATGCCACCATTTGTGACTATATTCGCATGGTACCGCGTTCAATGAACGCGCTTGAGCCTAGAATAAAATCTTTAACTTTACATAAATGAGCTTGAAAGAAGTATTCGAACAACATCCATGGAGGTCATTTAAGAAGTTCAATGAAGCTGCAAAGAGTTGGGGATTTACTAACAGAGCTGAAGTGAAAAGGTTCTTTGACAAAAATGTTGTACATCAAACAAAAATAAACCCTTACGACTACTTTTTACCAATTTACTCCAACACTCCTGACGCATACCAATTTGACACTCTCATTCAAAGCAGAAAAGGAGGACATAAACCATTCCTCATCTTCATTAATGTTAACACTCGTAAAGCATATGCATATAATGAAAAATAAAGGAACTCGTGAAGTGTTAAGAGTTTTACAAAAGTTTGTAGCAGAACATAGCCCAAGTACTTTAACATCAGACCAGTGCATACCTCAGCAATGAAATCACAGATTTCTCATTAAGCATAACATAACTCACTACACTACTGAAGACCATAACCATAACATACTCGGCATCATAAACCGCTTCATAAGAACGCTCAGAGATTTAAATCAAGAGCGAGACTTTACCGAAGAAACAATGAAACATTTTCTCGAAGTATATAATTCCTCAACACATTCTACAACAGGACATACACCAAATTCAATGACACAACAACAAGAAGAAAAGTATATACAAAAGAAACGAAGCCAAACACAAAATATCAGAAATTCAACACAATTTACCCTCATTCCTGGTACAAAAGTTCGTGTAGTTCTTGACGACAAACCGTTGACAAAGAAACGTTTAAGGTTAAGTAGAAACTATTATATCGTAGACTCTACGCAAGGTAATGGATATCTTATAAAAGCTGCTGACGACTCTATTGCGTTTTATCCTCGACATAAATTAGTCGAAAGTAGTAATGGCAAACTTGCTGAAACCATTGACGAAGCAAAGCGAGGAGTGGTTATTGAAATACTTGGCTACAACATAAACGATGACACTTATAAAGTAAGATATGAAGGAGGCGTTGAAGATGTTATACCATCTAAGAACTTGAGAGAGTCAAAGTCAACACATCTGGGACCATTAGAGCGGAAGTCCTGGAAAGACAAAAATAAGCCAGAAAGAATAAGAAAATTCTTCTAAACTTTTTCATTAGATGTAAATCAGACATGAACGAGAACAGTCATGTATTATTAATGGTACCATTTATTTTCATAAATTTACACCAAAAATATATTTTAGGTGAAGAGGTGAGATCTCACCCGTTTTTTCACTCTTTTTTCACCCTCACCGCTTAGCGGCTCAGATTGCTTTAGCTTTCTCGTGAATTTTCATGAATTTCCTTAAGATAGAAAAATAAAGTTAGTTTTATTTTTATTTTTTTTATTTTGTATAAAAGATATGATTTCAACAATCGGCACAACAACAATTCAAACAACTACAGCACCAAACTCGCTAGTCATGAATCCTACGTCAATGTTGGTAGAGATGAAAAGCTTTATTCCTTCTTCATATACTTTTGAAACAGAAATCCAGAAGATAAAGCAAGAACTTTTAACAAGTAATTTAGACTGTAGTGCGAAAGATGAAACAAATGAACAGTATCTTTATGAAATGCAGGACATTATTGACCATTTACCCAAATTGCCTGAAATCCAACAGCAAAAACTAACTATTCCTGAATTCGACGAAATAGAAGTGAAACCAACTGACTCAGTAGAAATAAAGAAATTCATACGTAAAGTAAATTATGAGTTTCTAGGATATCATTGCAACCATAAAGTTATGGACAAAGATTGCGACATGGTTTATAAAAATATTTCTGACATATATAAATCGTGGAGTTTAAGACATACGATAACTTTGTTTCATTAGTTGCAAAATGTGTTTGGGAAATAAGAGATAAAGATAGAAGAGGTAAGGTATGGATGAACAGTTAAAACCAGCAGCTTTTGAGTTAAAGAAAACCATTGACGCCTTAGTTGTTCTAGCTGGTTTTATTTCAATGTATAACGCAAAAATGAATCCGCAATGTTCAAAATGTAAAGCAGCAATAAGAAAATATAACTACTCAGTCAAAGAGATAGAAAGAATGCGAAACGACTATGCAGACTTAAAGAAAGAAGCAGAAAAGCCAGCAGAAGATAAAATGGATATGTTGACATTTCTGAACAAAAACTATCCAACTGCAGAAGATTTCCTTCTGTCTGACGTCAAGAAGAAATATAAAGAGACTTTCGGCATGATTAAAACATTCGATGTACTAAAAGAAGAAATTGAAGCTACGAAATTGTTTAGGATTTCAAATATACATCGTACAATTCATGTAAAACGCTTGTGAAAAAAGAGGTGAAAAATTAGGTGAAAAAAGGTGAGATCTCACCTCTTCACCTAAAATTATTTTTATTGAATTCAGCACAAAAATAATGAATTTCATTAGTTAGAAAAATAACGCTAATTTTATTTTTATTTATTTTTTTATTTTGTATGTAAAGACAGTAATGACAAACATTGAGTTTGAAACAGTTAGAAAGATAGACAATGACACCAAAGTGGTTAGAATAGGTGATTTAAACGTAAGATACTCAAAGAAATACAACAAATATTCTTTGTCAGACATTATATCTCCATCTGGAAAGAAAACAAACGACTGGGTTAGAAATGCTTCAACTCAGAAAATTTTGACAAGAAATCCTGAGCTTATGATATCAGTAGCATTTCATGGAACAAGAGCATATCTTATAGACAAAAGTCTTATACCAATAGTTTTGTTATGGTTAGACCCAGTTGTTGGATATAACTTCATAACATATGGTTCATTCGATACGGAACGTTGCAGTGAAGGCTTACTTTACATCGTTCAGAAACCGAAGGACTTCAACACAAAAAGATATAAGATAGGAAGGACATATAATATAACTCAAAGATATGACAGTACAGTCAATAGAGTCAAGGTTGTGTTTGTTAATGATATGAGAGCTGCTGAAACAGAACTGCTTGAAGTTTTTGAGAAAATGTATGGTGCTCCCACGAAAGGTAAAGAAACGTTTGAAGTAGATGAGATAGATAAAGCTATAAAATTATTTGACGAAGTTGCTGAAAAATACATGTAAAGCGTTTATTTTTGGTCTTTTGTGAAAGTCAGAAAATAAAGTTAGTTTTATTTTTATTTATTTTTTATTTGTATGTAAAGACAGTAATGTCAACATCAGAGAACACAACAACTTATCGTCATGAAGCCATAAATGAAGAATACGAGTACATACAGTATAACAAACAGTTACGTCTCATTCGTTCAGTCAAAGATGACATGTACCAAATGCAAAGTATAATGAATGCTCTTCGTTCTACAAAGCAAGCATATCATTGGTTTGAAAACCAACAGACAAAAGAACTTTTAGAAGAATTTCCTCATATGATTGCTTCCCTCGGAAAACCGAGAGAAGAGATTCCGTATGAAAATCGCAAGAATTTGGCTCCTGGTTTGAAAGGTTATTATGTTCATAGACTTTTAGTAAACGCTGTAGCAATGTGGGCTTCACCTCGTTATGCTTGTTATATTTTCATGATGTTAGATGAACTATATAAAGCAGAACGTGGAGAGATGGAAAAGAAACTTCAAGCAAAAGATGAAGTCATTGAATCCAAAGACAAAAGCATACAGAAAAGAATACCGCGTTCAGTACCAAAAGGAAAGGAAAAGAGTTATAAGTATATGATATATACTGAAGAGTTGGAGAAAGAAGAAGATAAAGATATGGTTATGTTGCATTTAGTCAGAAGAAACAACAAGAGCTTTTATGACTTAGCTAAGATTTACAAATCTGACAGAAACTGGTTCTATCGTGAAAACTTACCGATTTCAATGACACCGAATGAGCAAATAAAGGAAATTGTCAAAAATACTCTTCCTCAAACACACTATGACATCAAAGGTTGCACAATACTTACATTCAAAGAAGACTTAACATTACTGAAGGAAAAAATAACAGAATATTTCGATAACTTCAAAGAGGAAGAATAAAGTCACGACAACATTAACGAAGAGAGAATGAGGTGAAAAAAGAGGTGAAAAAACGGGTGAGATCTCACCTCTTCACCTAAAATATATTTTTGTGCTATATTTACACTCATTTACGAAGAAGTCATGAATCCTACGTCAATTATGTTCGACACTGATAACATTAACGATAACATAAACGATAACATAAACGATAACATAAACGATAACATTCATTTTTGCATTAATCCTGCTGTGTTGTCAAAATGTCATGTTGTCATCATTTTTAAAAGAAGTTAATTAACCTGGTGACATGGTGACGTAGTGACACCATCAGTTATTCAAAATATATTTTTGCTTAAATAGCTTCAGGGTCTATTTCTTCAACCATTTCACTTCCTTCGTCAATGTCAATAGAAGCTTCTTCAACCTTTGGTAAGAATTTCTGTATAACATCTTTGTTCGTTATTGTCTTCAGAGATGAAGGATAATATTTCACATTTGTTTCACCCTTCTTATATTCTTTCTGTTCGGAAAGATTTAAAGCAATACTGAAGAAGTCAACGTTAGAGTTCTTTATAACAGTATAATGAGTATCTTTGACATTCACGAAGAAACTCTTTTGTTTCAAAAACTACTGCTAACTCTTGTGAAGTATAACGTTTGCGGTCAATGACGATAGCTAATGGTCTGACATACTGACCAAACTTAGATTCTTTCACAAACTTCTTGTTAAAGATAACATTAACATTTGAAGCATTATTGAACTCATTCTTGATGGCAGTAGCGAGAGCATTGTATGAAAAGAACTTGCAATCTGCATGTGTTTCATTAAAATAAAAAATATTAAATTATTTTGAAAAATAACTTAAAAAAATCTAATCTAATTTTTTCAAAAAATATTTTTTTATTTCCTACTAAAGATGTACGGAAGTTGTCTAAGTTAGAACACTCGGAAATAAAACAACTTCTTACAGAAGCTAACATAGAAGTAGCAAACATTACGCAACAACAAAAAAAAGCAC